AAATTTTTAAAGAATATCCATTCATCTGTTAAAAAATACGACAAAAAGACCAAAAACACTTTGGTTCACAGTATCATCCAGAAACTAACCCTCAGTGCAAATTCAGGTACATTGTTTTATCACAGAAAGAAATGAGTCACCTGTCAATATGTTAACACCACAACACCCATGTATGGCCTCAAAGTAAATTCCAAATACAACAGTCCTTCATGTGCATTTCAACAAACCTAATATACTGTGTGATTTGTGTATGCTATACATTGGTCAAACATGTTGCCCTTAAGGAGCTCATTGATGTGAACATTTTTCCTACATGAGAGATAATGACACTATGAAATCCACAAGTAGATATTTCAATAACCTTACACACTGTCTCTCCAACTTCTCTATACTTGGACACAAATTTGCTCGCTTCACTGTACTTCAAAAAGAATGTCTTGAAAAACATAATTTTTTTTAAATTATGCACTGTTAACCCATTTGGAACAAAGAAAAACTATACTTTCTTTAACTTTACCCACTTTTCTCTTTACCTTATACCTGATATATACTTTCTCATAACATTCTTTGGTTTTCTTAACAATTTTGTTCAAGAAAGACATTCTTTTACTAGCTTGACCACCCAAGTTTATTTGTTATAACAAACCCTTTCCTTAATGGGTTTTATTTGGAAACTCGGATCTGTAATGTACTTTTAAGGAAGCTGATAATGAAGATGTACAATTTTTATGTAGAGTTTGTACGTTGGAGGAAAAGTTAGAGGCAATCATGATTAAATTAGATGCAATAGATAAAGAGAAATGTAGATTGTGGGAAATGGCAGCAGGATTTCAGGAGGAGCTTAAGCTTTTACATGCAAGGGATACATCAGCTAACAATGACTTTATGGAAGTTAGAAAGAGTACTGTTAAGGCTAAAACTGGTGAATTTAGTTATAATGAGCCTATTCTATAGAACAACAATAGATAATAAGGATAATGGATAATAAGGAGGTTATAGTTATAGGTGATTCCTTCATAAGGCATGTGGATAGAATAGTCTGTGGGGTAAATAGGGATAAAAGAATCAGATGATGCTACCCAGGGGCACAGGTGGAGGATATAACTGACAGAGCAAAAGATATAACAAAGGGGGATAGCAGAGGTTTTTTTTGTACTGCATGTAAGAGCTAATGATGTAGAGAAAGGTGGGTCAGTGGAGCTAATTGATAAGTATAAGGGGTTGATAAAGACACTTTTAGAAAATGTCCATAACTTAATTTTGTCAGGGATACTGCCCAGAATTAGCTGTGGGTATGAAGTTATAAGTAGGTCATTAGGGCTAATTGCTAGGCTTAGCTCAGTATGCAAGGATGAGCAGATTGGCTGGTTGGACTTGTGGGATCAGTTGAGTTGGAGAAGGGAGCTTTTTTGCAATTGATGGTTTACATTTAAATAGAGTAGGAGCTGGCTTGTTTGTTAAGGCTATTAACTCAGCTGTAAGGGAAGTTTTAAACTAGGATTAGACAGTGGTGAGGGCCAGGAAAAAATGAATACAGAAAGAATAAGAGGCAGAGAAAAGTTTAGCATAGGAAATAAGTATAGAAGAAGTTATAATGATAGGTTTAATTGTTACTATTGTAATGCTAGAAGAAATAAAATACATGACTTTAGAGTACTGGTAGGAATGGAGGATTTTGATAAAATGGGAATAACTGAAAGATGGTTAAACATAGATGATTTTGATGAGAGAAATTTTTTTGAAATACCGAGTTACAGGCTATTTAATAGGGATAGAGTATTAATGAGGAAAGAAGGAGTGGCTTTATATGTAAAATGTGAGTTACATCAAAGATAATAGCAAATAGTTTCTATTAGTGGATATAAAGGGAAAAGGCTTTTAGTGGGAATTTGTTACAGACCACCAAATGATACTGTTACAATAGCGGAAGTCACGTAACGCTGCTGGCCCGTTGGCATGTGTGATGAGTTTCTCGAATGATCGGGGAAGTCCGAATGTGTTGGAGATGTCCTTTTCGTTGGTATATAAGCCTGGCAGAGGAAAGCCAGCATGGGGGGTGGGGATATATAAATCAAGAGAGAGAGCAGTAGTTACTTTGAGTTCAGTGTAATTTATGATTTTGCTAGTGAGCCGTAAAGTGTGTGTTTTGCACTTGTCGAGAGTGAAGTTATTGAGATTGTGAATTGCTGTGATTTATAGCATGTATTATAAAAGTTATTAAGTTTAATGTGATGAGAAACGTACTGATTGTGGAACTACTGTGTACTAAAATTTTGTATCGAGGAAGAATAAACTGGCTTAATCAAGAAAGGACTTGTATCGCTGAAGATTCTTGTAAAGAATTTATACCGGAAACAAACAAAAAAGTAGATACGTAACAATACTAATGAAATTAGTGAGAAACTTTAGAATGAAATCTGTTAATGAAGTCATAATTATGGGCAATTTTAATTTCAGGCATATAGATTGGGAAATTTTAGAATCAAACCATGAGGGAGAAAGGTTTTTGGAAACTGTTCAGGATGGCTTTCTTCACCAGTTTGTCAAGGAACCAAGAAGAAACAATGCTATTTTAGACTTATTGTTAACTTCAAATACATAAATGATTCAGAGGGTAGAAATTGGGGAACATCTGGGTGCAAGTGATCATTGCTCTATTAGGTTCAATGTTTTGCTGCACATGGAGATAAGGATATATTTTGGTTACAAATTTCAAAAAAGCAAATTTTGAAGGGATGTGACAAGAGTTATCTGTTGTGAATTGGGCAGCTTAGTTATTTGAAGACACTGATCAGATGTGGAAAATTTTTAAAGATAAATTTTATTCAATGTAAACATATTCCTAATAGAAAGAAATGGGTAGCTTCAAATAAAAAACCAGGTTGGTTCATAAAGAATTTAAGAAATAAAATTAAAGCATCAAAAATTTATGAAATTTAAATTGACCGGTATGACAGGAGACTTAATATTTGGCAAGTACCTGAGGATTGGAAGTTAGCTAATGTAACTCCTCTTTTCAAGGGAGGTGATAAACATTGTCCCAGTAATTATAGACTCATTAGTCTTACATCAGTTGTGGGAGAAAATTTGGAAAGTCTGTTAAAAGATGCTTTGCAAAGTCATTTAACAAAGTTTAGAATCTTATTAGATAGTCAACATGGTTTCACTAAGGGAATATTTTGCCTTACAAATCTTTTAACATTTTTTGAATAGGTTATTGCTTACGTAGATGAGGGTAAGGGTGTAGATTTGGTGTATCTGGATTTTCAGAAAGCATTTGACAAGGTGCCACATAAAAGGCTTGTAAATAAATTAGCTCTATAGGTGTGGGGGATAAGTTAGCAAATTGGATAGAAGAGTGGCTGGATGGAAGAAATTAGAGGGTTGTTACAAATGGAGTTCAGTCAAACTGGATTAATGTCACAAGTGGGGTACCTCAGGGCTCAGTCTTAGGACCTTTGCTCTTTTTGATTTGCATAAATGATGTAAATGAAGGGATAGTCAATAAATTACTTAAATTTGCAGATGATATTAAGGTCTTGAGTGTTGCTAGCTCTGAAGAGGATGCTGCTGATTTACAAAAGGATTTAGATCATTTAGTGAGTTGGCAAATAAATGGCAGATGGATTTTAATTATAATAAATGCAAGATAATGCATGTGGGTTATCATAATTTGAATTATAAGTACTATTTGGATGGAACCTTAATAGTGTTGTGAAAGAAAGGGATCTTGATGTAATGGTTGATCAGTCTCTTAAGCTGTCCAAGAAGTGTGCTGTTGCTAGTGTAGTGCAAATAGGATATACTGAAATATTGAATACAAGTCTAAAAAGGTTATACTTTCATTGTACAGGTCACTGGTTAGGCCACATTTGGAATCTTGTGTTCAGTATAGGGCTCTTTACCTTAGGAAAGACATTGAATTGTTGGAAAGGGTTCAGAGAACGGTTACTAAAACGATGCCTGGGAAGGAGGGGTTGTCATACGAGGAAAGGCTGAAATCTCTCAAATTGTTTTCTCTTGAAAAAAAAAACGAGTTAGGGGGATCTGATTGACGTGTTTAAGATTGTAAAGTTAACTGATAGTGTTGATTTATCATATTTTTTTATAATTAAAAGTGAAAATAGTAGGACTAGGGGACACAAATATAAATTTGGGCAAGGTAGGAGTTATCTTCAGCTAAGACAGTTTTATTTTTCTAACAGGGTGTTTGGCCTTTGGAATGGGTTGCCTTCAGATGTTGTAGAGGCAGTAAATTTAAAGAGAGTTTAAGAAAAAGTTTGATATGTATATGAATGAAAAGGGCTGGGTTTAAAATTTTTGTATTTTATTTTTTTAATCATTTTAATTTAGTTTTGAGAATGGAACAGCCGAGATGGACCAATAGATCCCATGTTGTCCCAAAATATTATGTTTTGTTAAATTTGTTTTCTTTATATTAATATTTTATATTCAATTTCCCTAACTTTCATTGATCTATTTCACTGAACATCATTCAATGCATGTATTCATCCACTCACTAATTGTATTTTCTTATTGTTTGTATGTATATATAATTTTGTATTTCTTCCAACTTTACCCAACAAATCATTACTTTTATGTGTGTATGTCTGTTACTTCTCATACTTTTCTTTGTTCTAATTTATCTTCAGAATATGTTTTTGAGCTTTAGAGCCACACACATTCTTTGTTCTTATTCTTATACCCTATCTCTTTTAAAAGTTGTTTTCTTCTCACTGGAAAACTTGACGATGGGTTTTTGCCAAAAATGTTATTTCCATATTTTTATTTTGCAAGTGCTTCACATTTTTATTTTCTTCTACATAAAGTATTCTGACTGAAAAGATAACAATTTCAGGAAGATGCAGTTAACTGTAATCAGGTAAGTAAACAGATATTTCTATTGTTCCTACTACAATAATATTTTGCAAGTATATCACATGACATTAAGTAAAGCACATATGAATGTAAACACACAATACTAATTTTCCAAATTATACCTTCCTGTGCTTGCCTAAAAGTCTTCCATCTGGTCCAAAAGACAAAGATGTGTTGTAAAGTTTTCCTGAATCCAGTTCTGGGAAAGAACCTTTCAGACAAATAAAATTAAATGTTGCTTTTCTGATTAATATTATGAAACATCAACACCTTATATACTACTCAAAATAGCACTCTGAAATCTGGCTTCTTTAGTTTATTTTTAGTACATAAAAAATGAAATTAGTTCAATGTTTACTTATAATCAGTTTAATATCATTAAGTAAAGAGTATAACATGGCATATTAGATATAAGCAAAAGACTACATCTTTTCAAAATGATTAGAATTTGATCTAAAATATTGTTTCCTTGTAGCACACAGATTCTTTAGAATTTCCAGGTAACAATTAATTCTATTTTATCATTCCACGTCCTGTGTGAAATGTTGTGCATGTGTAACTTCAGTGAACTGAATTCTCTCCTAGAAGACTGAAGTGGTTTGTCTTGAAATTTTCTTTGTGCAGCAGAGATGGATATATTTATTGCTACTTTGTAGCAATACTTTCTTTTAATAATAAAAATGATTTGAGGAATTTGAAAAGATTTCTTACAAAAAAAATATTTACATTTATTTGAGATTAATCTTAAGCAAATGGTCAACTATGTTACATTGTCAAGAGAGAAAGTGAGTGAATCTAAGAAAGGTAAAAAGAATACAGAAATCAAACGATTTAGATACAAAGAAAGTTGATCAGAAATGTTTAAAAGTATACAAAGTAAACAGGGAACCACTGGAAGCAGTCTGACAAATGATCTTCTCTTAAGTGTTGAGATGGTCACAGAAAATTATGAAACTCTTACTAGCATAGATAGTTAGAAGACTGATAATGTAATAAGCTCAAACAGATGAGAACTTTTTTGAAGAGATTATTATGTCTTTAATGGTTGATATGCAAAGTGAACAACAAGCTGAAAAAGAAACTACTGTTGGCATGAGTTGCACAGTTTACGAGTTATAAGGGTGCACTAATGACCATGGCTATTATAATGAAGAAACTGATTACAATATCCATATTAGAGGAACAAACTTGTTCACATAGAAAAAGATTCTAAGGACATTGTTGAACACCCTCTTAAAAAGTCAAAAAGTGATCAAGAAATATCAAGCTCAAGTTTCAAAAAAGCAATGCAAAATTTCAAATTCAAACATACCATTGATGTGAAAGTTGGAAATTAACTAGTTGAAATGGTCAATATTATTCTTGTAATAGAACTTCTCATGAGCAATACCAAATCTCATGAAAAATATTAATCAACCAGAAAATTATACGTCAATGGCTAACATACATATTAATCAAATTACAAGTATAATAAATTTTTTTTATTTTTATAAAGACAAGTAGGGATTGATATATTCGTAACCTAGCTAGTTATAGTAATATAGAAAGTTTTAATGTTACAAAATGTATTGAAACAAGAAAGTCAAAAATACAAAACTGAGTTATTTAAATTTTTTTTAAACTATTGCTACTTTGGCTCAGTCTATCATAATTCATCTTTGTTAAAGTAGGGATAAAAT